CATTAAAACACTACAAGCCCAAGTTAAAACTAAAATTGGCTAAATGTCTTAATAACATTAACTTGCCCCTTTAAGGGTCTTTATCCTCATAATTCTCAGATTAAATGACAAATGATAATCACCCTACTCTTAGGGATAATTGAAACATCGATGTTCACTGAACACTAGAGGTATTTACAGGATGAATCATTAAGCAACATAATAATTTTAAATGAATTCGAGACTTTTCACCAGGCGGTGAGAGGGAAACATGAACCTGCTTCTTCCTCCTAACCTTCTGGATACCTCGGAGGTCTACTAAACTTAGTATGTTTTGCTTAATGAAATCATCCTCAAATAAATTAATGAGGGCTCACCAAGATATGATTTAGGATTTGATAGATGACCAGAACCTTATTTCCCCGCTTGCCTTGCCCTACATAAAATGCTTTTAATATATAAATGCTCTCACATCCATTTTGAGTTTCAGTTGAAGATGACGGGAAGACCATCCAGGTACGCTTTTATTGTAGTTTATTTTACCTGCATTTCTAGTTTCCCGTACTTTACTTTTCAGTACGTTAATGTACTTACTCACCTGCATGTACGAACAAAAACACAAACCTGTTTGTTAAACAACGATGTAACCCTGCATGAAAACCAAAACTGCTAGGATAGTCGTGAACCAAAACTAAAATCAACCAAGATAAAATTCACAACTATAACATTCAAAATATAAAATAACTCAAAATTTAATCACAAATGTCACAAAAAATAACAATTGCAACTAAATTAAAACATCTCTATCGGAAGAACAGGAATCCCTCGGGGGAGGTAACCTACGGTTGCTAACGAGGCTTCCCACGGTCTAAACGAAAGTATGAAACTCATTATATTGAGTTTAGTAAATTTATTTAGACTACGTAAATCCAATAGAAAATAGTGGTACCGGAACGAGGGAACCGTAGGGTCCTAACTGGTGTCTCTCTAATCAACTTCAACATGCCCCATAATATTTAAAGAACTACAACCATAGGGTCGTGAAATAACCTTAGAAAACTTAAACTCGCCATGACGAGGAGCTTGGAGCTAGCATGGTGGGCAGCATAACCTTCTTCAACAACAAAACATGTCTGCACCAGCTAAACCAATTTCCTTCCTTAGAATTAAATAACCAAGCCACAAGATTTCGAGGTTGTTTGCTCATGCAACATAAAACCTTACCTCATCTTTAGGCCTTTGCATAGTTCTGCTGTACAATCTAAGCCCTAACTCGTCTTAAGATTCCAAGTTTGTCATCTGTTACGACTTTAACCCTCACATCTTCCAGGCTATTTGTGTGACCGTTTCACACAAATATAAGCCATAAATAAATAAAATTGGCATGATGAAACATTTAAATAATTTTTCCCCAAAAATGAAGCCAAGCAATAGGATAGAATGGGAAGTCACCGAGGTTCTCCTCCGGATCTATGACATCCCCTAGTTCTTCCTCTTTTGGACTCTACAACAAAATATTCTAAATTTGAGCTATTCCCATTTCACAACTCTTTGTCCGATTTTATTGAAAAGTCCTATCCTTTTGACCTCTTTGAAGATAACATTTCTTGATTTTTATCGAGAGTTTTCTTAGGTGACTTCGGTCATTTAAGATGTAATTAACTATAGGGTTTGCCCTTATAGGAAGCTTGTCTAGCTTATAATAAATCATATTTAATTCTTAATATTAAATAGGGGAAATTGTCGGCAAATAAAACGGTTTCACAGACCAAACGGATGTCATATATTTCTTAGTTTATTTGATCGAGCATCATCCTCTAGTCTTGTGTTTATCTTTCTGGATAGATATAGAGTTTGAGGTATAATGCTTTTTCATTTAAACTGTGAAAAGTATAGGGTCAGTTTGATTTAATATTTTTCTAAAACTTTTATATATATATATATATATATATAAGTTAAAACGCCTTTTCGAAGCGGGCGACGAGATTTCGATTCCGGCGACTGACAGCATTCAATCAATGGGCAACTCCTCCAACAAAAATTAATGTCGACACTTCTCTAATTTAATAAACTGAGATTATTTTACTACACTGATCAATCATGATTATTTGATTCTAGATAGATTTTTATTTCATTAAATCTTTTTGCAAGTGATGAAGCTATTGCATACTATTTGATGATTGATTTACATTTTGTCCATACCAATGAATGTTGAGCTTATGGACCATCATACAATAAATAATTGAATTATAATTGCTTCATATTCGATCATGGCTCAAACAATTTTCAAATTTTAAGCGAATAATGCTTCAAATTAATTTCTTTGGACATAACCATGAAGAAAGGGCAAGTCCATTTCTTGGTTGTGCTCCAACTAGATAGCATATCATAAGCCGTAAATTACTAATTGTCCACATAGGAGCAACTCTAAGATGAATGTTCTTTTTCGTAGTCATATTAAAATTCAACACTACTGTTTTCTACAATAGTTTTAGCTTATCTATTAAAGGTTGTAAGAACACATCAATTTTACCTTTTGGACTATGTGGAACTGGTATGATCAACGTCAGAAATAAGAATGACACAATCATGCAAATATCAAGGGGCAAGTTATATGGCGCGATAATAACTGCCCATCATGAGCAGGGTGTTGTAACATGGTTGTAAAGTGTGAACTCATCTGCATATAAGTTAAGCCTAACATTACATGATTCAACTGCAAAGTCATGATAACTACAATTGAAGTGTTTCTAAGCATCACCAGCTGAAGCTTGATTCATAGTATTAGCACCAACATATTTGGTATTGTGTCATGTCATGTGAGAAGATGCATGCATAGAAGCGAACAAGCACTAAAACTGTGGAATGAGGGTAAAGTAAAAGAGACATTTGTAAGGCATATATATATATATATATATATATATATCTTTCTCCCTCTTGGTTTAAACTTATCAGTATTGTAAAATCTATATTTCATCTTCAGTGCATCTTCCTTGCAATATAACAAGTGGTCATTAACACAAAATTCTATCTTTTTAGATAATAATCCTAACTTCGACACTAACTTTTTAATTCTGTACAAATCTTCTAGAACTAAATTCTCTACATGGTTTGTCTCCTTTAATAATTTTGCTACCTAATTGAATCATTTCCTAAGCATGTTGAAATCATATTTGTTACTCAAAAATCTCCGAGCGATCATAACTTTGTATGTGGATTGCATCCTTCTCACAAGTGTTGCTATGTAGCATGCAATAATTCATAAAATTGTTGTCCTTCACAGTTTTGTTGTTGATCATCATCAAGTACATTCCTATCAAAATGAGCTCTGCTGGCATCAACAATCATTTCCTCAAACACACCAAAATTGTGTACCGTTGAAGAGGCATAACTTGATAAGTCTCCAACATGACTGTACTAAATATCTAGTTCAAACTCACCATGTGAAGTCCAATATCAATGATCAGGTTTAAATCCCTTAGGGTATAGATCCAACTTCACTTCGTTGGGCATCTAGTATGCATGATTCTTGTGCTTGACACCAGGGCATCAGAACCCGCCTTCTAAAAAGTAAACAGGTAGTTGTGATACCATCTGTATGAAGTCCTCAACACGATCCAAATACTTGGCAGCAAGTCATTTTCTGTTAGGATATAATTTGTTATATATCATTAATCTCACGTTTCGAATATTCATCTACAACATAGATGTAACTTTATACATTTAGAGATCAGTGGCAAAAACCACATAAATCTTATGTATTACAAACATACAAACTAGTCAAGTAGGAGCCGCCAGAACCACACATCAAGGAGTGAGGAGCGTCGGCGGCGTCGAGCTACTGCAAAGGAATGAGTGGGGAGGGAAAAAACACATGAATGAGGTGTTCAACTTGGGGGAGAGTTTATTAGGCCATTAGCATGGCATTGTTCGAAGCTATTAAGCAAACTTGGTACTATCAGACATGATGCATATATTAATAATCCAAATCAACAATAATTAATCAATTGTACGACAAAAATTAATTGAGACAACTCTAAAGTAACAAAATATATCATAAATTATTCACATGAGGTCATTTTAGTCCCAACGTACATAAAAATATCGAATTAATCACCAAACTCTCTAAATTGAGGCTGAAACTAAATTCTCACTTTATAGAATCTGGAACTAAAATGACTGCATACAAAAGTTACACGGGTCTGCCTCCAGACGTCTGCTGCCAAAGGCAAGCAAACATTGTGGCACCATCCTCACAGGAAGCAAGGACACTTGCTCAATGGCAAGGAAGTAGCTATTATTTAAAATCGCCATTATTGACCTCAAGCTCCGACGAAAAATAATGAGAAAAAACCTGGAAAAAATGTATTTTTGTGCCCCATTTTTGAAAAATTTTTAGCTTTGTCACTGCCTAAATGTTTTATATAATCAAAAAATATCAGTACTACTAATAACTCGTGACGCTAGATTCTCGAATAGTAGCATATGACGCGAGTTTCTCTTCATAGGGCCTAACACATGAAAAATCGGTATTTAGGCCTCTGTCTAATACCAATTTCCTTTATATATATATATA